CACACACACACACACACACACACACACACACACACACACACACACGGCCCACAACGGGTTATTGCTGGTTCAAACCTGGCTCCTTCCAACTACTAGAAGAGTTAGCTCCTATATTGTGTCCCAATCACACATTTCTTGACCGAAGACTTAGGTCTTAGAAGAAAATTTCTGACTTAAAGTTTAAAGAATAAAAGCAGAGATCAGAGGGGAAGATAAACACTGAATTTTTCTTCTAAAACAATGGAATTTGGTAACAACAACAACAAAAGTGTATGGAAAAATAATGCCAGTGAATCCAGCAAATAGAAACATGCTGCTTTAAGTATTCCACACCACTAGGTAACTCTGTTCAGGGTGAAGTCTTCCCTGAAAAATCAAATCAAAGAATTTAATAGTGAAATTGTCCACTAGCCTAAGGAAAGAAGCAATATAAATTGGGTTTTGCCTTATTTGCAAACTAAGAAAAAAATGTATTACTCTGTGTGGTTATTTGCACTCTTGCAAAAAAAGCAAGCCAAGTTGTTTTATTGTTTCATCCCTGTAATTAATGAATAAAAATCAGTCTACTTTACTGAGCACCATGTACTGAATCTTATGTTATATGTTTCACATACATTCTCTCAACAACACTAGAAGTTGTTATTATCCTCATTTTCTGGATGAAGAAGCTGAAGCTTAGTGAAGTAATTTTGCCAATGTCAGAGAGTAGTTAAGTGGTAACACTCGTTTTCAATCCAAGTCTCTTAATTTCAAGTTTCATCTGAATCAGCCATACAACCCAACATTGACAGTTATTTTAACCATTCTGCCTGTGATTTTATTTAATCTTACCTATGGGTTGGCATGTCAGAGCTTTTTAATCTCCCCAATATTCTTTTGTTAGACACTTTAAAATTTGGGGGGCATGATGGTAGGGAAGGTAAAAGATATTTAGAAAAGTGTGCATCCTAATTATGTTTATCCAGCTAATCATCACTTCCAAATTAGGGCAGACAGGTGATGGCCATGTATTCTGAAGCCTACAGCTCCAAGAAGACCAGGTTAAGCCCTTAGCAGAGAAAGTTTTGATTTCCCTTCTTGGTCCCATTTATTTACCTTCAGGGTGTGCACTTACTTTTTCTTTCTTACGTATTTTTCCCTTCTTCCACCTTCTTCTTTGTCTCATCATCCTTAATACTTTCCCCATAGCCTTT